GGAGAGAATGCTCATGGACAAAACATAGGCATATTGTTGGTGCATTGTTGAACTGATCAGCATGACAGGATTTACAGTGACTATACAAAAGCCTTGCACCACACAGATAATTCTATATCCTCTCCAAGTTCCAGGGAATAGTTACCATATATATATGGTAATAGGTAATATACAAATGTTCTATATACATCTTTGACATGAATATGAGATCTGGATCATGCCCTGCTCCATGTAGAAAAAAGTAAAAGAAATGAGGTTTTGAGAGTTTTACAAATACTTTATGTTAAAGCATCCACTCATGGTACATGTACACAGTGAAGCAGAATCTGCATGCACCAAAAAGGAAATTGAAGCAGGAATTGATTTGTTGAGCAAGGAGAAAGAGGTGTTTGTGGCCACTCAACGATGTGTTTGGAAAGATGTGCAGAGGATGGAACCAGGAAAACATTTGAGACATATGGATACATCGCAAGAGGCAGCACGAGTGTTTTGGGGATGTGCTACATGTGTATGCATTAAAAAGGAAATTTGCCTTATTTGGTAACACATAGTAAGATTCTTTTCCTCCACTAGGACCATTCTACTATATTAGGAGATAAGCTGACAAATAATCTCCTTATTTGGTCAAATTGCCTTTGTCCTTTACATTGTAACACTTTGAATGTCCCTCACTCTGGGTGTGCTCATTTGAAAAGATGAAAAGCAGCCAGTCAATGTTTTGCTAATAAAGCTGCCTTGTCTGTGCTTCTTGTAGTTCATTACCTCAATTATTATGTTCAATTTTGGTGAAAAATGGCCATGCAGCCACACAGCAAAACATTATACTTTCCCTATGTCTCTACTTCTGGGTGTGTCATTTTCAAAATGTGAGAATCAGCTATTAAACTCTCTGCTAGAAAAACTTCCTTCATTGTGATCTTTGAAAATATTATCCCAGTTTCAGTGGTAAAATTGTTTCCTAGTGGTAAATAATTTCCTCAACCTGCAGCATTTCAGGGGTAGGGCTGCTTTTAGGATATATGGAAGGGCCACTGTTGGTGAACAAGTCATTAGGGGATGACATGGCCAATAGTGATGTCCTTAACCCCATTTTGTCTGACAAAGCCCAGGCATATTTGAATAGTTGTGTTCCCTTCCATGTCTTTGAGTAGTGTTTAAAGGTTCAGTCCATAGGACTGCAAAAAACCGGTGGACCGAACTGCAATTTGGGGTTGGTCCAGTTGCCGGTTGCCTCATTTTGAAAATCTTTTAAAACCGTTCAAAGACCGGTTTTGATCGGTTGCAACCGGTTAAACGGTCACGTGCGTTACATACCCTTGTAACCACGTTTATTACCTTTTATTGGATTTTTGTTTCATCCAAAATGGTTAAGAATTGAGAAAGATATAACCAAATCCATATTTTACCCGAGTCTCTAGGAGATGTAATTCGGTTTCAGTCATAGCTATGTCAAATCTTCATTAAATCTCTTACAAATTGGTAGAATGACGGATATTTACATGCTTTACTATTTTATATAAGCTGTCTATTTTTCAGAGCAATAATAGTCGAGATATACATGGTTTATATTGGTATAATAAATTATACGCAAAAAAACCGGTCTGGATCGGTCTGAACCGGCTCCATAGACTGCAAAAGCCGGTCTTAGGTGGTTCGGTTCAGTTCCCTCAATATCTGGGTCGGTCCTAGACTGGTTGCGGTCCACGGTTGCGCGTTTTGGGGGCAAAAAACTGGACTGAACTGAACTTGCGAACACTACCTTTGAGGGTGCCACCAACACACATGCATTTTGCAGTAGAGAAACTTAACAAATGATGCAGTTGAAGGTACCACCACCTCCATCAGTTGACAACCCAATCAGATGTAATCCAAGAGCTGGTGAGATGTCCTCGTTTTGATTTCCTACCAGCATTCTAATAAGATCAGGAGTTAATGAGTGCAGCCATGATGTTTGTGGACACCTTTCTGAAAATGGGTCCTGATGAGGTGAAAGTCAAGCTGGAGGACAAAGACCCAGCTTGTTAACTGGTCTTTTTGCGGTCTTGTGATCTCAAATCTGAAAGACCAAGACTGCAGGTCCAGTCTTTTGCAGTCTTGGTCCAGTCCAGTTGCAGTCTTTTTGCAGTCTTGGGACTGGACTTCCAAGCACTATTTGCTCTTCTGAGGGGGTTGCCAATGAATTTGCAGGTGTGCTTCCATGCCTCAGATGGGAAGGAGGATGCTAGGGAATCTGTGGTGAAATCCTGGCAGGAAGGGGACATGAAGGCAGTGGCAATGGTCAGCAGCATGAGTGTGGACGGCTATGAGGATGTCAATTTGAAATTGGTGATTCACTACTCAGCACCTCAAAATGTCTTCAGGTTCTTGTGTGAATCTGGGAAAGCAGAAAGAACTCACCAATCTGCATACATCACCACATTTCGGCATCTGAGGGAGATTGCCTTCCCATGGCATCAATGGTTCAGGGGTGAAAGAGATGGCTGATTACCTGAGGGTAACAGACCACTGCAGGCAATCATCACTTTTTTCCCCAAATATGAAGACTTGCAGTGAAGATGGTACAGCTGCCCTCTGTGACAGCTGCCAGAGCCTATTGGTGCAGGCTGGTATGGTGAGTCTATGGAACCAGCTTTTGGATATTGAATTTAGAGACTGACCATTCCCTGTACCAACAGTGACCCATTAAAGAAAGCACCTGCATATTGGCTATGCAGTGCATGCTGGACAATAAGCTCCAACACTCACTACCTGCCAGAGTTCCAGTAAGCAGCTTATTAGCAGTATGATGAGATCCTCCTGACATTCAGCACTGTCCCTCTATCATCAGACAACTCATGCTGTCTACCAGCTGTTTGTGCCCCTTCTTCTTCACTAAGCTGAACCACCTCTGACAAAATTCCTCAGAAAGCTCCAATCCATCCACAGACCCCCCACCTTGCCATCCTGATTGGGACTTTATTTGTCTGCTGAAATTCTCCTTGTGGGCAGTGTGGCATTCCAGAGACATAATCCTGGCCACCTTCAACTTGAATCAGAACATGGATGAATGGGCATTTATTTCTTGGATGAATGAGGCAACAAAGCCAGGCAGAAAAATCCTAAAGGCTCACCTTCTGGCAATGTGGGTGCAGGTGAAATTGTATCCGTAATTGCTTCATATGCAGTGCCCATTTCTCCCTTTTTTTCAGCAATTTTATACCCCATCTGCCCACACAACTGACCTGCCATGCAGTGGCAAGTCGGAGCCATCTTCTGGTTGATTTCCCTCTGCACTCATGAGTAGAAACATGGCCCCCATGTTGTTGTAAATTTAATTAGAATCACAATGAAACAAAACATGGATGGAGTTGAAAATGAAAACTGTGTGCTCAATCCCATTGTAATCAAGATACATCATCACCTTCCTGGGATTCCATCCCTCTACCAACCATCAAAGGTGGTGGACCTCACCCTCAAATATTAGGCCTTCAAGTATTTTCGAGAGTTCAGAAGTGCAAATTTTGTGATTACGTTGGTGTGACTTTCCTGTCCATTAAAGCCCATAGAACACTACAAATTATATGTCAGAAAATTGGACTACAAACTTTCAAGTTTGGGAGACTGGACACTAATGAATGAGTACATATGTTCATGGGGATGTATGGTTGAAGAGGTGACACAGACAGTGACAGCAATGGCAAAATGCCCACCATTTTCACTCCTTCAACTATAGCACCCTGAATGAGGTCTTTACCTTCCCCGGTATAATCCATATGGAATCCATGTGGAATCCATGGAATCCATGGAGAATTCCATATGGAATCCATGGAATCAATGTTGGCTGAGGACACAGCCAGTTTCTGATTCCATGGACATCATGGATTCCATATGGAATGATGCTGGAATGGTCATGGAATGATTAATTCCATATGGACTCCAACACCATTCCATATGGATTCCATCAGATTCCATATGGAATGCAGGCATATCCACATGGATTCCATGGAGCAGTCCATATGGATTCCATGGAAGGAATTAATGACTATTTACCATTAGAATACATTGTCCTTACTATAAGTAAGTAAAATAAATTTTTTTACATCTCGAGGAATTGAACTCTCGACCTCGTGAATGTAAGCAGCGCTCAAGCCGACTGAGCCATGAAGGCATTATTATATGAGAAACTAAAGGTATGTATATACCACTTTTAGGCACGTGCCACGTCAAACGTGACAGCTGTGGCTGCACCACCGTTTCAAACCACGACCGCCCGCGACATCGACAACGACAACGACGACGCTGACGCTGACGACGCGTGACGAGGGCCCAGCCCAGGTAAGTGGGAACAACCACCCCACCCACTCTCCTCTTTAACACAAACCACAGGTGCCACGTCGCGACGTGGCAACCAGACGGCGAACGACGACATCGGTCGTCGTTCGCCGTATCTGCTCGGCCACGAGGACCCACCACCACGAACAGCCCACCAACACACCACACCAACGTCAACGAGCGCCCACCCCCACGAGCGCCCACCGACGAAAACGAGCGCCCACCAACGTCAACGACCCCACACCAACGACGACCAGCGCCCACGAAAACGACCGCCCACGGACGTCCAGCGACCGCAAACGACGTCCCCGCCCACGAAAACGATGTGCACCGCCCATGAACGTCGCCCACCGCCAACGATGTCAACCGCCCATGAACAACGGCCACCACCAACGACGTCCAACGCCCACCGCCCACCAACGACGTCCCCCGCCCACGAAGACGACGTCCGCCGCCCACCGCCCACGAAACAACGTCCGCCGCCCACGAAACAACGTGTACCGCCCACGAAACAACGTGTACCGCCCACGAAACAACGTCCGCCGCCCACCGAAAACATCCGCCACCCACCGAAAATGTCCACCGCCCACGAAACAACGTCCCCCGCCCACCGAAAATGT